ATCGACAAACACGGCCAAGGTGTAGCTTTGTCCTTTTTTGAATGAAAATTTTCGCGCGATTGCGGGTATGTTTCTAACTTCATGTAAGTGGCTCTAAAGTCAAGTATTAAATAAATATTTCTATCCGAAATGGAAGCTGTTAATTCTCTATGTTATAAAAGAAATGGTAAACGTTGCAGCTGTGCAACCATGGAGTTATGGATGCACTTGGGAGGTTTGCTAAGCACTCAAGAAGCTAGAGTCGCACGAGGCGATTACGTTTCTTTCTTGCTTAGCAACCTCCCGCGTGCATCCATAACTCCATGGTTGCACGCTGCTCGTTTACCATTTCTTAATTGTCACGGATCTCTGATTGAGCAAAAGTCAGGAAGGTCTCTCAGAACACAGAATCAGTAACTTAACGTTCTTAGGGCTCCACTGAAAACCACCTTGGCGAGTTGGGCTCCCTCTATAAGTATTATTATTATTATTATTATTATTATTATCATTATCATTATTATTATTATTATTATTATTTTATTATTATTATCATTATTAACGTTATTAGTTCTCGCTCTCGCGAAGCGAGTTTATAATCTCGTCGGGCGCGAAGCGCGCGCGCATCACGTCAACCGCGCGTGGTCTTAGCCAGATGCAAAATTTGAAATAAATATATAATGTATCAATCTTTCTATGAATATGTGCTTGGTGTCCGCCAATGACGTCATGTAGCTCTACGTCATGGAGCATTTTGCGTTTCCAGGCAACATAGACTTTGTCCCCGATGACCAGCGCATTGCATGTACTTTTCATGAACGGCTGATTCATCGTCCATGTTTACGATCAGTTGCCTCCCACGCAGACGTTCTTACGGGTTCGTCACGTGATCATTCCTCTCCCACGAACGACGTTCGTGGGGTAGGAACGCGTGACGAACCCCTAAGAACGTTTGCGTGGGAGGCTATACGATCAGTGAATCACGAGCAATTTCCCATGCAAATGACACAGAACAACAAGCACAACAAGTGACTGGAAATCCTCGCCGGCAAAGATTTTCCCCCGAAACTCATCTGGAGAACGCCTACTGAAATTCATCGCGATCAAGAATCTCTAACAAAACAGTCAATATGTGTGGAATATAGTCTTCTCTATAAGAAGCATTTGAGTTTTGCCGGAGCTCATTCGCAGATGAACACAACACTTTTCCGAAATCGACCAGGAGAAACGTAAAATTGAACAAATTTGCGGTATATACTTCATGGTGGAAAGCCACAAGTGCACCGATAATATACACTCTGTGTAGTATGTACTATTGTGTCTTCTCCCTAGTAGCTAGTGGTAGTTACTAGTAGTTAATTGTATTTACTAGTAGTTACTAGTAGTTACTGGTAGTTACTAGTAGTTGTCGGTAGTTACTAGTAGTTACTAGTAGTTAATGGTAGTTCTTGGTATTTACTAGTAGTTAGTGGTAGTTATTAGTAGTTACTGGTAGTTACTAGTATTTAGTGGTAGTTATTAGTAGTTACTAGTAGTTGATGGTAGTTATTGGTATTTACTAGTAGTTACTAGTAGTTGCTGGTAGTTACTAGTTGTTACTGGTAGTTATAAGTAGTTACTGGTATTTAATAGTAGTTGCTGGTAGTTACTAGTAGTTACTAGTAGTTGATGGTAGTTATTGGTAGTTACTAGTAGTTGATGGTAGTTATTGGTATTTACTAGTAGCTACTGGTAGTTACTAGTAGTTGCTGGTAGTTACTAGTAGTTACTGGTAGTTATTAGTAGTTCCTGGTAGTTACTAGTAGTTATCGGTAGTTACTGGTAGTTACTGGTAGTTGGTGGTATTTATTGGTAGTTACTAGTGTTTAGTGGTAGTTATTAGTAGTTACTGGTAGTTGATGGTAGTTATTGGTAGATACTAGTAGTTGATGGTAGTTATTGGTATTTACTAGTAGTTACTGGTAGTTACTAGTAGTTAGTGGTAGCTATTAGTAGTTCCTGGTAGTTACTAGTAGTTATTGATAGTTACTAGTAGTTACTGGTAGTTGGTGGTATTTATTGGTAGTTACTAGTGTTTAGTGGTAGTTATTAGTAGTTACTGGTATTTAGTAGTGGTTGCTGGTAGTTACTAGTAGTTACTGGTAGTTGATGGTAGTTATTGGTAGTTACTAGTAGTTGATGGTAGTTATTGGTATTTACTAGTAGTTACTGGTAGTTACTAGTAGTTAGTGGTAGCTATTAGTAGTTCCTGGTAGTTACTAGTAGTTATTGGTAGTTACTAGTAGTTACTGGTAGTTGGTGGTATTTATTGGTAGTTACTAGTGTTTAGTGGTAGTTATTAGTAGTTACTGGTATTTAGTAGTGGTTGCTGGTAGTTACTAGTAGTTACTGGTAGTTGATGGTAGTTATTGGTAGTTACTAGTAGTTGATGGTAGTTATTGGTATTTACTAGTAGTTACTGGTAGTTACTAGTAGTTAGTGGTAGCTATTAGTAGTTCCTGGTAGTTACTAGTAGTTATTGGTAGTTACTAGTAGTTACTGGTAGTTGGTGGTATTTATTGGTAGTTACTAGTAGTTATCGGTAGTTACTAGTAGTTACTGGTAGTTGGTGGTATTTATTGGTAGTTACTAGTAGTAAGTAGTAGTTATTAGTAGTTACTGGTAGTTACTAGTAGTTGTCGGTAGTTACTAGTAGTTACTGGTAGTTACTAGTAGTTCCTAGTAGTTATCAGTA